GCTAAAACTTTGTTGTTTTTAAAATTGGTTGTGTGAGAAGGTGCAGTGTTTCCACCTACGCCTCCATCTTGGTGAAAGTCTACATGGGCTTCTTAATGCAGAGAAGCTGGAGAGTGGATCTGGGCCTCTTGTTGAATATACCTTCTTCTTCATTTGAAATATGTGTGTTGAAAATATGAACATTTTGCTGATGGGGAAAATCTGCTTCTACAATTGTGTGATGATTATAAATATTTCAATATAAAGGATTCTAATTATAGGAATTGTCTTTAAAATCACAGTTTCTAAGAATTAAGAATTCTAATTTTGTTGGAAAGAAATTGTATGATTGGAGAATAGAAAGTGTAATATATTACAACACTTGAATAGAGGAAATTTATTTGTTGTAAAGTTGATTGTTTTTTAATGAATTTTAAGAACTAAATTAACAGAGACTGTGCCCATTGCAGAAAGACTGTGTACATCATAAAGTTTATGCAAATTAAAGGATTGTAAAATGAGATATTCAGATGAAATCATATACTTCATATAAATCATGAATTCAGTTAGTTAAATAACCTTCAATGTCAATAGTAGCTAAAACAGAATGTCTTTGGTTCTTTTTCAGGTTGTTAAAAGGAGAAAACATCAAGTTTTGTATAGAAAGAAAACATGGTGTGCCTTTTAAATACAGTTATGTGTTATGTTACTTAGGTACGTGGTTACTTAAAATGCATACCCTTACCCCTGGCTGGTACATCTCAGTGGATTGAGTGTGGGCCTCTGAACCACAGGATCGCAATTCGATTCCCAATGAGGGCACATGCCTGGGTTGCAGGTCAGTTCCCAGAAGGGGACTCACGAGAGGCAACCATACATTGATATTTCTCTCTTTCTCTCTTCCCCTCTAAAAATAAATAAATAATATCTTTAAAAATGCATATCCTTTATTTTTAATGATATTATTTATTTTTAAAGAGAGGAGAAGGGAGGGAGAAAAAAAAAAGAGAGAAACATCCAAATGTGGTTGCCTCTCATGTGTCCCCTTGTTACCAAACAAGAGGTCCGGGGGGGGGCGGCAATACAGTATTTGGCCCACCTAGGGATGCCAAAAACTGCTACACAACAGGGACCCTTCCCAAGGACTGAATACTAAAATCTACTGGGCTCTTCTGCCCGCCGCCAGTTGGAAAGACATCTCTCCATGCCAGAGATTTGTGAAAAAGAAACAAAATATTTATTTAATGCTATTCAGGCCTAACGTCTCCACTAAAATATCAAAGTCCTTTAGGGTATACACCTACACCCACACAGCACTCCCTTCTCCCACTGTCACAACCCCGGGTACCATAAATGAGGAAAAAAAGCACACGTCTGTTTCAGGCCACTGGCACCATCAGCTGTATCACCGTGCAGGATCTCTAGTTAATCCAAAATACTGTGGTAGCCTCTCACGGTCCACTGGCAAAAGTTCTTTCTACCAAGTTCCAGTCAAAGTCTCTCCTGCTTTCCAGGCCACACAGCCAAAGGGGGCACCCCAAAGCCAAGTGGGCCTCTTCTACCAAAGCTGCAGGGGTTCACACTCAACCAAAAGTGTGTGTCTTTCTTCTTCATCTGGCTGCAGGGACCTCCATTCTGGCAAAGCTGTGTGATTTTCCTTTTCACCTGGGAAAGAGGGGGTCCTCACTCTGCTGAAATTGTGTGGCTCTCTCTTACATGACTGCAGGGGTCCTCACTCTGCCCCCAACTGCGTGGCTCTCTATTCATCTGGCCAAGCGGGGACCCTTCATGTCCTGGAGCCAGTCTTTTCCAAGCTCCCACACAGGCCCTCTCACTCAGGAGTGCAGCCCCGAGTTTCATTCTGAGCCCAAGTCCACTCCCTTCTCCCTGACTCCAAACTTGGCCACAGCTATTTAACATATCTATGAAACCAGTTAAAGGTTATAGCTATGTTAAATAATCACTCCAGAGGTTAGCTGCAAAACTATTGCTATGCAAAACAGCTCTCAATGGCCCTGCTCCATTCGTTTCTTCCCCCTGGGGGGGGTGAGGACATCTTATATGTCTCTCCAATATTCCTATACACTTTGAATTCTGGACACCATTCCCAATCTTTTTTTGCCCCCCCCCCGGCTGCATCCTGTATCACCCTTCTGGAGGCCTGGCCTCAATTCATCCATGTGCTCTGACTACAAATTTAACCAAAACGTATTTTCTTTGCAGTCCATCCCTCAAGCCAATGAGTCACACCAGCCAGGACAGAAAAACAAAAACAAAAACACATACTCTTTATTGTAAGAAGTAAGGATGTGCTAGCCTGTATTTATGTTTGATATCTTTATTGTTACTTTGTGTAAATAAATATCCAATAATAAATTAGTTCATAATGATATTTAATATTTTGATAAAATATGAGAAGCTTTCAGGGTTTAATTTTTAAGAGATTTCTACTTGACCTAAAATTGGTTTCGGGTCATTCCAAAGGATTTCTGGAATTCCACATTAATTTGTACTTTCTTCTTATGAATAAAATTTTTGAACAAATTTGGCCAATTTTATATGCTTATAGTGCATGGGAAGGTTCATAATTAAGGACATAATAACTATCATCTATTTATACACATATATGTTAGATAATTAAATGAATATGTATATATTATGTAAAAATCTCCAAGAGTCTATAAATTTGTGATATAATTTCATTTTAAACTATCTGAAAATGTTGTTACAGAAAAGCAGATTTCTTTATCAATCACAGAGGCAGAAACCAGCCCTCAGTTTCTGAGGCATTATGGATGAAATGAGTATATTCATACCAACTACCGAGTCCTGTGGAGGAAAAGGGAGGGCATGGCTTTTCTCTCAAGAGGAGCAAAAGCCCCAGGGGCCTCTGCCATGACAAGCCTTTATAGAGTTTCTGGACACATTACATGAGGGTTCTCATGTACTATGCACAGGTTCCCTTTAGGAGGTTACCTTTTACAGAAAACAAAGGAGAGGATGTGGGTAATCACATCACAGAAGAGAGATATTTGCAAATGAAAAGGCAAGCATAGTTGAACAAGTTACACTGGTCCTTGGAAGGTTTAGCATGATTTTTAGGAAGTTACTTTGCAGTAAATGTTTGCCACAAATCCCAGTGAGGGAGTTTTTAGCAACAAGCAAGACTCGAAGCAGCCTAGGTACATGACAGGTCTGATCCCCCATGGGAGAACCTATCCGTGGGTGTGGGTCCTGTGCATTTCCCAGTGGGAGCTGGACCCACACCACACAGATCATTCTCCTGTTATAGGAAAATGAAGTAACCAGACACCGAGGGATTCTGGAGCACGAGGTTTATTAACATGCACGGGCCCAAAGGAGTAGGTATTCAAATTCTGAGCCCCGAACAAAGGATTCTTGGGGGTTTATATACCCTAGGGGTCTTCCTGTCTACGTAGCAAAATGAGATACAGAAGCAGAATGCAGTAATTACTTCTATGTATGGGGCAGAAGCAGAGTACAAAGGCTAAAGGTGAAAATTGGTTCTATCTGTAGGGGTGCTAGTCCCAGTCCTTGTGACTATCCTGCTATTTGCTTTATCCAGATGGCCTTATCACTCTCCCATGGCACCTGGGGTCTTGGATGAGCAAAGGTCTCCTAGGGCTTCTCCCTTCATTCCCCCCTGTGGGTGCTTAGTGTTTCCATTTGTATCTGCACTCAGGAGAGGGTTCCTTTGTTCCTATTGTTGTTGAAGCATTAGTATGCGGCTGGTGGTCTTGATATGGGAAACTTTGAAAAACCTCTGTTTAACCTTTATTTGCCCAGGCCCCAGGCGCCCTAGGGAGAATGATGGGGCTGTCTAGGATAAGTAAACAACAGTGCATTAGCTAGGACTGAGATTAATACCCCTGCTGTTAAAAACTGACCTTCGAATTTAGCCTTTGTTCTCTGCTTCTGCCCCATAGCTAGAGCTAACTTCCGCATTCCGCTTCTGTTTTCCGCTTTGCTACGTAGACAAGAAGACTGTAATAGCCATTAGTAGTAGAAACATACAAACAGCCGTTAGGCATCTGCAGTTCCTGAGACTGGGTAATAAATAAATGTCAGGGAACGGCTGGGTTAAAATTCCTAGCCAAATAAGGTAACTGACCAAGGCCCGCCAGATAAGACCCCCAGCTCCCAACCACCAATTAGAGACTTTCGCCATTTTTTTAACTTAGCAACCTGGCTAATAGCTAACTGCCACATCTGCTTCTGTAACCCCGCATTCGCTTGCTCTGCCCTATAAGAACCCCGTAGTCTGTGAGCCACGCGCGACTTCCATCTGTAGCTTTAAAAGCTAATGTGACTCCGTTCACATCTGGGGAAGTTCGCCCCTGCGCAGGTAAAGCTTGGCCACCAAATTTATAATTAGACTATTATTTTGTAATCAATAAAATTAGAGATCTTTGAAACCTATCTTCGTCTCCGAGAGCGTGCATTGACTCATCTGTTGCCTACAACATTTGGAGGCCCCAGCGAGATACGCACGTGCCCTCGGAGAACCCATCTGTATGCCGGCCCGGTAAGTATCTGGTATCTGTGAGAGATCTCTATCTGGGAAGGTCGCGGCCATCGGAGCCCTGAAGCGGAAAGGTGGGACGCTGCCGGAAATTCCGCACAGGGGACCCCAAAAACTGGGAGGACGCTCCCATGGGGTCGGGGCTTTACGCTCCCGTCTGGTAGGGGAACTGCAGTCCCCGTCTGGTAGAGTTTTTTGTGCTCTATTCTGGTAATAGGGGGAGGGGAAGAACTGGAGTGCCCCCCCCCCGTCTGTTTAGGTTACGGCAGGAGATCACTTACGATTTCCGTGCTCTAACCAAAAGCGCTTGCGAAGCGCCCGCGCCCCTGAACGAGTGAGAGAGCTGAAGTTGTGTGTCACGGCTTGTTTATGCGTGAGTGGACGAGGGGAAGCCCGTTGTGTGTTCGTGTGTGAACTCTTAATTGCCTTAGTCCTACTAGGTCTCAAGACTGTTAACGTCTCACGTCGGAAATCAAAGATGGGACAAGGAGGCTCAACACCGAGTAATGCATTAGAATGCCTTCTGAATAATTTTTCTGATTTTCAGAAGCGGGCCCGAGGGTACGGCGGGCCACCTCCAGATCCTGAGACTCTCCGGACCTTCAGTGAGTTAGAATGGCCAGCCTTTGACGTAGGATGGCCCTCTGAAGGGACTTTTAACCTCCCCCTTCTCTATGCCGTTCAAGGGGTGGTTTACAGAGTGCCCCATCCAGATCAGATGATTTATATAGATGTTTGGATAGATATAGCTACCGAACGACGGAAATATATACGCTGTTGTCAGTCAGGCAGAAATAGGATGCGGCAGAGCGTCTGTGTAGCTGCTAGACAAAGGCCAGGAGGGGGGAGAAAAACTCCTCTCCAGGAGCAGGAACAAAGGCAGCCGCGAGTAAATCCTGGAGAGAAAACTCCTCCCCAGGAGCAGGAACAAAGGAAGCCCCGTCTATATCCGGTATTGCCAGAGGAGCCAGAGGATTCTCTACTAGCCCCAACTGCCCCGCCTCCGTACAATCCTACCCCGCAACCCGACTCCACCACGGGGGAGGAGTTGATGAGTCCCCCCCACACCAGGAGGGGAACCCTGTACGGGGCGCCCCATCCCGCGTTGGGAGGGGCCAGTGTCCCGCCTCCCGGGCCCGGACTGGTGACTCCCGCGTTGGGAGGGGCCGGTGTCCCGCCTCCCGGGCCCGGACTGGTGAGGGCGGTTTCCTCAGCGGGAGGCGCCAACATTTTGCCTCTCCGGGAGGTGCCGCCGGGCCCTGATGCCCCGGCCTTTCATCCCCCTCGTCTAGTTTATGTCCCTTTTTCTACCAGTGATTTATATAATTGGAAACTTCAGAATCCCCCGTTCTCTGAAAAGCCCCAGGGCTTAATCTCCCTTCTAGAGACCGTTTTTAGGACCCACCAGCCTACGTGGGATGACTGCCAACAGATACTCCAAACTCTCTTCACCTCTGAAGAGAGAGAGAGAATCCTTCGAGAGGCCGAAAAGGCCGTAAGGGAAGAGGAAGGAGGGCTGGGAGGAAACCGGAGGGGGGTTGGGGATATACTCCCCAACCAGCCTCCGGACTGGGACCCAAATTCAAGTGTGGGGAGGGAAGCTCTACTCCAGTATCGCCGAGCTCTCCTGAGGGGGGTACGAGCAGCAGCCAGAAAGCCAACCAATTTCAGTAAGGTAAGTGAGGTCACCCAAGGGAGAGAGGAATCCCCCGCAGCATATTTAGAGAGGCTTCTAGAGGCTTACCGGGTGTATACCCCCCTAGACCCCCAAGCGCCAGAAAATCGCAGGCTTGTCAATATTGCCTTTGTCACACAGGCGATGTTAGATATTAGGAAGAAACTACAGAAGATTGAAGGTTTTGAAGAAGAAAACCTAAGCAAGCTGTTAGAAATTGCTCAGAAAGTTTATATAAACAGAGATGACCCCGAGATAGGTAGAGCAAAGGAAGTAGCCAAGATCCTCATAGCAGCTCAGAAACCTGGCCGGAGGGAGAAAGGTAGGGATGGAGCCCAGCAACGGCGAGCTCCCTTAAACAAAGATCAATGTGCCTACTGCAAGGAAATAGGACATTGGAAACGAGATTGCCCTAAACGTAGAGCCAGGCCACCCGGGTTAGAGGAAAGGACCCCCGTCCTGCTTCAGACTCTAGACTGACGGGGCCGGGGCTCTATACCAGTTGGTCCCCAGGAGCCCATGGTCACTCTGAACGTCGAAGGGAAGCCAATAAATTTCCTAGTAGACAACGGGGGCCACTTTTTCAGTCTTAAAGCAACCACAAGGAAAGGCACAAAAGACAACTACCAAGATCATAGGGGCTACTGGCAGAGAGGAATCTTACCCATGGACTACCGCAAGGGTCACAGACTTGGGGCTGGGCACCATAACCCATTCATTCCTAATGGTTCCGAATTGTCCCTACCCACTGCTCGGGAGAGATTTATTGCAGAAACTTCAGGCCACCATCACTTTCAAACAGACTGAGGTGCCAGGGACCAATACTCCAGGACCTGCCCGGGTGGAGGTAACTGTGCCACTCTCAGAAGAATACCTGCTGGCAACCCTCCAGGAAGGTAAGGAGGAGAAAGGAGCACCAGAAACCCTCCTCTCTGAGATTCCCGGAGTCTGGGCAGAGACTAATCCACCAGGCCTAGCACTCCATCAACCTCCAGTGCTAGTCCAGCTAAAAAGCACTGCCAGCCCTATTCGGGTGAGACAGTACCCAGTACCCAGCCGAGCACGGCAGGGGATCGCCCAACACCTTAAGCGACTTCTAAAAGCAGGTATTCTACGGGAGTGTCAGTCAGCCTGGAATACTCCCTTGTTACCAGTACAAAAGCCTGGGACGGCGGATTACCGGCCAGTTCAAGATCTGAGGGAAGTAAATATGCGGGTAGAGACTATACATCCCACGGTGCCCAACCCATATACCCTGCTAAGTTCTTTGCCCCCGACTCATACTCACTACTCGGTACTAGATTTAAAGGACACCTTCTTTTGCATACCGCTAGCCCGCCAAAGCCAAGAGATCTTTGCCTTTGAGTGGAATGATCCTGAAAATGGATTAGTAGGCCAGTATACCTGGACTCGCCTACCACAAGGGTTTAAGAACTCACCTACCATTTTCAGTGAGGCCCTAGGTAAGGACTTGCAGGCTTTCCGCATCTCCCACCCCACGACAGTACTCCTGCAGTATGTGGATGACATCCTCATTGCGGAGAGGAGTGCGGAGAAGTGCGAGGCTGCTACTAAGGACCTACTCCGAGACCTAGAGAAGATGGGATACCGTGTGTCAGCCAAGAAAGCCCAGATTGTGACTCAAACTGTAAGTTACCTGGGGTATAACCTGCAGAATGGGCAAAGAACCTTATCCAATCAGAGGATTCAAACAGTCCTACAAATCCCAGAACCTACCACCAAGAGACAGGTACGGGAGTTTCTCGGAGCAGTAGGATACTGTCGGCTTTGGATCCTAGGTTTTGCAGAGTTGGCCCGACCACTGCACCAGCTAACTCGGGGAAAGGAAGAAAAGTTTGAATGGACTAGCGAGGCAAGAAGGGCCTTCCAGGCCCTGAAGGAGGCCCTCGTTGCGGCCCCGGCACTAGCGCTGCCGGACCTATCTAAGCCATTTCAACTATTCATAGCCGAGAAAGAAGGAACTGCATTAGGGGTGTTGTGCCAAGAGCTCGGTCCATGGAAAAGACCTGTAGCCTACCTATCAAGGAGACTTGACCCTGTAGCTTCTGGCTGGCCAGCATGTCTGAGGGCCTTAGCGGCCACCTCTGTGTTAGTCAAAGAAGCAAGCAAGCTCACCTTAGGCCAAGACATTCAGGTAATCGGAGAGCACTATCTAGAGCAGGTCTTACGGGCACCCCCAGACAGATGGCTTTCGAATGCCCGACTGACTCAGTATCAAGCTCAGCTCCTAAATCCTCCAGCTGTGCAGTTTGTCAAAACAACCACCCTGAACCCTGCGACCTTGTTGCCCTTACCAGACGCAGCTATAACCCATAACTGCACATGGGTATTAGACTCTATCACTGGTTCCCGACCCGATTTACGGGACCAGGCCTATGACAAGCCTGATTTAGTTCTTTTTACTGATGGAAGCAGCTTCATGCGGGAAGGGCGGCGACTAGCAGGGGCGGCAGTCACCACTGAGACGAAGGTGATCTGGCAGAAGGCGTTGCCAGCTGGAACTTCAGCCCAGCGAGCTGAACTGATTGGCCTAATCCAGGCTCTGCGTCTAGCAGAAGGTAAGACCGCTAATATCTACACCGACAGCAGGTATGCTTTCGCCACCGCTCACATCCGTGGAGCCATTTACAAAGAGCGTGGCCTCCTCACTGCCGGTGGGAAGGAAGTTAAGAACAAGGAAGAGATCCTGGCCCTCTTGGAAGCTATATGGCTCCCCGCAAAGGTAGCCATAATACATTGCCGAGGGCATCAGAAAGGTGAGTCACCCATCATCAGGGGGAAACGAATTGGCTGACGCCGCTGCTCGGAAAGCTGCTGAAGGAGAAGTAGTTGTTCTTCCACTCATTCCACGCCTCGAAATCCCCCCAAAACTTATCTACACCCCCGAGGAAGAGCAAGTTGGTCTAAAGGCAGGGGGGGGTTAAAAACTCTAAAGGGCAAATTGTACTACCTGACTCCAAGATTTTCCTTCCCCAAGGGGTCTTAAGAACAATAGCCCAAGAGTTGCATGCGAGCACACACCTCGGCCAGACCAGATTAGAACAGTTAATAAAGAAATATTATACAGGGTCAAAGTTAAGAGATACAGTTCAGTCAATAACCACTAGATGCCAGACATGCGCTAAGGTAAATGCCCAGAATAAGAAGTATCCTCCCCTGGTGAGGTACCGAGGTAAGAGTCCAGGTGAGCTATGGGAGGTAGATTTCACCAAAATGGGACCAGGAAAATCTGGGTATAAGTATCTCTTAGTATTAGTAGACACTTACTCAGGTTGGACTGAAGCCTTCCCCACTAAGGGGGAGACCGCTTCCATTGTATGCAAACTACTCCTGAGAGAAATTATCCCCAGATATGGGCTTCCATTAGCTATTGGCTCAGATAATGGCCCGGCCTTTGTCTCAAAGGTCTCCCAAGAATTGGCCAGCAAACTAATGATTGAATGGAAGCTCCATTGTGTTTATAGACCCCAGAGTTCAGGACAAGTAGAAAGAATGAACAGAACTCTAAAAGAGACTATTATTAAATTAAAGGAAGAGACTGGCGAAAACTGGGTCGAGCTTCTTCCTTTTGCCTTATTCCGGGTAAGGTGTACCCCTTACGTGGGGTCTTGGACCCCATATGAAATCATGTTTGGGCAACCTGTCCCCATTATTCCCAAACTTTCCAGTGAAGAAATAGCCAGCACAAATTATAACTTCCTTAAGTCCCTCCAGGCCTTGCAGCAGGTGCGACAGGAGATACGAGTCCTACGACATCAGCCCCCAGCTGAAACGACCCAGTGGCCTACTCCTCCTGAACCAGGCCAGTGGGTGTGGATCCTCAACCACCGGCGAGGAAACCTGGAGCCACGGTGGGTCGGCCCCTTCCAGGTCCTGCTCAGCACCCTCTCTGCAGTGCGAGTTGCAGAAAAACCCTACTGGATTCATCTATCACACACAAAGCCAGCTCAACCTCCTAGGGAACATCAAGGCACATGGCGAGTCAGCAGAGATCCCGAGCGACCGCTGAGCCTAAAGTTCCTAAAACAGTAAGGTTGTTCCTGATTATAGTAACTCTGTCCATGAACCACGGGAAAGCTCTAAGCCAAGGCCTAGAACAGCAGGAGTGGGTACTCATAAGGACAGCAGATGGCACAGTCATTGCCACTAATTTTACTTGGGATACAGGCCCAGTGACTCTACATGCAGACTTCTCCAAGTTTTTCGATAACAAACATTTCTGTGACTCCCCCGGATGAACACGATTGAGACGAGAACCGGATTGGGGGAACTCTGTGAAACAGGATATGAAAGTTAAAGATGACTTAAATCAAGCAAACCTTTTCCGACCCCCGTTCTACGGGTGTCCAGAACCCCCCAGTGGAAGGAGGAGAACTTGTGGGGCCTCATGGAGATTACTACTGTAAAGCATGGGGTTGTGAGACCCTCACCGATGGGGGTTGGAGCCTCGGAGCGGGGAAGGATAAGGCTATCACCCTCTAAAAGGGTAAGAGACGAAAACCTGCGGGCGGATGGGATCAGAACTGCGCCACAAACAATTGCAACCCAACTGTCATAACTGTTTTAAACCCTAAAGACCCCGAATGGGCTAAAGGGCGAACCTGGGGCCTCCGCCTATATATCACAGGGGATGACCCAGGGACTCTATTTACTGTAAAGAGATTACCCACCAGGGGAAGGCCCCTCCTGAGAGGAGCAGTAGGCAGATTGCCACCTCGCCCGCCCAAACCTACTGTAAGCCTAGCCGCTACGCGCTCTCCGGACCCAAAAGGAACCAGACTCCCTCCCAGGGCAACTGAGGCCTCAGCGCAGCCTAGAGAGGAAGAGGAGAACCCTAGGCCATTCCTCCGAAGCCCACCACCCTTAGTAGGCAGGCCTCATCATCAAGGAGAGTCGGCCCTAAGCCTCTTGGAACAAGTGTTTCCCTATTTTAACTATACTATGCCAAATGTTACTGAGTCTTGTTGGCTATGCCTTAGCCCAAGGCCCCCATTCTATATTGGCCTGGGGGTTAACTCCCCCGCAGGGGGAAATAACACTCCCATCACAATGCGCCTTCCCCCAGGGAAAAGACAGGTGGAAGGTCTTGAACAATGTGAATTTGAAGGTACCATCACATTAGCAGAGTTTCATGGACAGGGAACCTGTTACTTGTTAGCTAATTTCACCCTTAACAATTCAAGTTATGCAGATTACTGTCTCAACTTAGTATACATACCAAAGACCCCAGGAACATTGACTGTAACAAAAGCCCCAGAAGGGCTATGGTTTATATGTACCCAAGGTATTTTTAAATGTATAGTTCCTACTAACCCAGAACTTTGTGTTAGTGCGTATATTATTCCCCAAGTATACCTGTATGGAGGGGATCCCGACTTTGTACTACGACCCCCTTCCAGAGTCAAGCGGACTCCATTGCTCATACCCATAGCTGCCACTATTGGTATAATTGGATCAGCAGCTGTTGGAGCGGGGGCACTAATCCGTGGGGAGGATAGCCTTAGACGGTTATCACAGACATTCTCTAAAGACGTCTCCCTGCTCCAGGAACAAGTAATGTACCTAGAACGCCAAGTAGACTCCTTAGCTGAGGTAGCACTTCAGAACCGAAGGGGGCTTGATCTTGTGTTTCTTCGACAAGGAGGATTATGTGCAGCCTTAGGGGAAGAGTGCTGTTTTTATGCCAACCATTCGAAGGTAATCAGAGAAAGCGTAAAGATGCTAACCAAGAGACTAAAAGAAAGAGAACAAGAGGAACAGACCTCTTCATGGTATGCCTCTCTGTTTAAAGCTTCCCCTTGGCTGACCACGCTTATTTCCGCATTAGCTGGCCCTATACTTATCCTATTGCTTGCCCTGACTGCAGGACCCTGGATCTTGAATAAGATTTTTGCATTCATCAGGGACAGGATTGATGCCATCAAGCTTATGGTATTGTCCCAACCATATACTATCCTGCCTCAAGATGACCGGCAGTCAATGGTTTAACTGCTACCTAACCGGAGGGGGGAATGTAATAGCCATTAGTAGTAGAAACATACAAACAGCCGTTAGGCATCTGCAGTTCCTGAGACTGGGTAATAAATAAATGTCAGGGAACGGCTGGGTTAAAACTCCTAGCCAAATAAGGTAACTGACCAAGGCCCGCCAGATAAGACCACCAGCTCCCAACCACCAATTAGAGACTTTCGCCATTTTTTTAACTTAGCAACCTGGCTAATAGCTAACTGCCACATCTGCTTCTGTAACCCCGCATTCGCTTGCTCTGCCCTACAAGAACCCCGGAGCCTGTGAGCCACGCGCGACTTCCATCTGTAGCTTTAAAAGCTAATGTGACTCCGTTCACATCTGGGGAAGTTCGCCCCTGCGCAGGTAAAGCTTGGAAACCAAATTTATAATTAGACTATTATTTTGTAATCAATAAAATTAGAGATCTTTGAAACCTATCTTCGTCTCCGAGAGCGTGCATTGACTCATCTGTTGGCTACAACAGAAATCATGGCATAACCTCTAAGACACCCCCAGAATCCTTTCCTCGAGGCTCAGAATTTGGAGATGACTCCTCTGGGCCCGTGCACATTAAATAAACCTCGTACTCCAGAAACCCTCGGTGTCTGGTGGCTTCATTTTCCTGCAACATTTGGTGCATGGGCCGGGAAGCGACCTTTCACAAATTTGGGTCCACGAGCTACAGGATGGATAAGCGAGCGGTGGCCGGAGTTCCAACTGGAGAAACGGGGGTGCACGTGCCCTAAGATTTCTCAGGCCCCCGTCCAATTAGAACCCACGACCGCTAGCCTGCACTCTAGATGGGAAGTGAGGGTTTTTGGACTACGACCTGACCTGAGACCAGGGGTGCCAAATCGGTAAGGGCGCCAAATCAGTAAGTGCCCTGGGGACCTGACCCGACACCAGACAGAGGCTGATTACCTCAAATCAGAAATCTGGGTTGGGTTCATGCTGAGCCCAACCACCTGGCCCTCACTCAGGTAGGGCTCTGGGTCGGATTCATACTGAATCCAACCACAGGGGGCTGATTGGTTCGAGTCCAAACAGCTGGAGAATTAGGTGAGAGGGATTGTTTAAATTCAGAGTGCCTGAGAGTGAAAGTGTGAGTGAATGTGCCCCTGTCCTTTGTGTGTCTGCACCCTATATTGGGGCTCGGCGGGTAAGTGCATATCCAGCGCTCCGAGCCCTCTCAGCTGTATAAGTAAACCCAAAACTCAGAAAAGAATTTCTTTGATTGAAAAAGTGCGCGCACCCAGCAAGTGCTGCGTGACCCCCTCCCCTTCCCCCCCCCATCAGCACCCAGGTGGCGGGCGGGCCAGGAGGGGGGCTATCTCCTCAGGTCAAGAGCCTGGACAATCCAGATTGCCAAAGGGCCGGGCCGCCCCTCCAGGCGCGACTGCTCTCCCACCCCCAGCCCCGGAGACAGGGTCGGCGGGTGGAAGCCTGGGACCCGGCGTGGCTGGGGGCAGGGCGGACTGTCCCCAGTGCGTACGGGCTAGGCTGGTCGCACTGTTGGGCCTGGGGGGGAGGAGGTTTCCCTGCTGGCACGAGGCCTCAGTCTTCTTTGGGAGTGCCCTCCACTTCGAGCGCTGCACTGTGGACCCCCCCTGTGCCGTGTCATGCCCCAGCAAATGCGTGTTCCTGGGGGTGACCCGCTGCCGCGGGTTCCAGGTTCCAATACGCCCGTGAGGGAGGGAGAAGAGGAGTAGAGTCACAGAGGTGAGAGTAAAGAAGCGGTGTCAGGACCCCTGGGCAGACTTCACCCCAGTGCTACCACCAAAGAGATTTAGAACGCTGACTAGAGCAGCGATGCCCCGCTAGCTGTTTCCTAGCAACAGGTAAGATTTCAGCGATCGTGTAGGGCTGGTAGCATTGAAGCTTGTTTTCCAAGCACCGAGTCTTTCGGTGTGAGGAATTTTGAATTCTAAGATATTTGCCAATAAAGACCTTACAATCCAACTGGTCTGTCAATTGTAAAACGGGCTCATCATACTTTTAAAAGAGTCTTGAGCCTTTTCCCCAAGTTTAATTTTATTGGCCATTTTAACTCTTAACTTGGAGAAGAGGGTATGCTGTTTGCTTTTCAGAATGACCTTTAGAACTGCAGGCGATGAGAGTGAAGCTGTTACATTCAGCTCTCACAAGCAAGAAGGGTCGGAGACAGTCGGGCAGTCAAACATGTTTTATTGGCCAAAGTTTCAAAGTTTTACCTGCACAGGGGCGAACTCTCGGGGTGTCCTGAGACATGGTGCCAAAATGGCTGCAAATGAGAGTCGCGCCTAACGCTTACAGGCTAGGGCTTTTATAGAAGTGGGCAAGCAAGCGGGTTTCCAGAAGCAAAGGTGTCAGTTAGCGATAGGCTAAACGAGCTCAGGTGTGAAGCACTTAACAACAACTCCTGACACATGGAAGCCCTCTATATGTTTTGACCAATTCCTAACTCTCTGGAACACCTGCCTGGGGGTGGGTGTGGTTTCTACTCAGGCTTGAGTGAGCAAACAGCTTAGCACAACTTATTTCCTCCTCTACTCTAACAAAGCCATATCACAGAAAAGCCTTCCCCAACAGGTGACGAATCTCCACACATAGACCCTCCTGATCCAGATTTCTCCAAGCTGTGTGGAATTCCAACCAACACCCCTGGAGTGGTCACCTAAGAGAGACTTTTCCTACCAACTTAAAGGGACTGCATTCGAGAATAGCAAATAGCATATTTCACAGACCTATTTTGATTTAATTTTATAATCAAGAATAGGGACATATTGCTGACCACTCTGCCTGATTTTAGGAATTGTACCTCTACCCCTTGGGGCAAAGGGCAAGAGACAACCTCTGGAATGCTGGCAGCAGGAGATGGGGCTTGTCCCTGGTGGCAGGGGCTGCCTCGGGTTCCTCTTGCTGTCCCCAGAGCTTGGTCGGAAGTCGGTGGCCGGTGGGACCCCTCACCGCGGTGGGGGGGGGGCGGCCTGGGCCAGGTTTGATCACCTGGGAGGCCTTCATGGAGGGACTCGGGAGGGCTACAACAAAGAGCAATGGACTCTCGCCCCCCCCCCAGCTTTGACAAAGCCCTGAGTCCCCATGTATTCTGGGAGAAGCACTTTCTGTCTTCGATCACCTTAGGCCTGAATGCCTGCTGGGGAGAAGTGCAGCTCCCTTGCCTTG